GCATCCATGTATACCATAATAGGAACAACGATGGATCATGGAGTCGACCGAAGTAACAGAAAGGTGGTGTCTTGAGGATCGTGTTGCCCCGATGGAATGCTAATTTTGGTTATATCTTACCCAGGCAAGCCCCGGTGCATAACCCCTATTATTATGTACTTTATTTTATGCTTGTGCATTAAGTTTAAGGAGTTGAATGAAACCCACTTGCATATATATATCCTTATCCTATGAGTTTTACTAGTATGACAGGATCTTGTAGATTGCTATGCTACAGGACTCTGGTAGAAGTTGAGTGATTGCCTGTCACTCGCCAGAGATAGGAAAGATGTTATTATTGCTATTATATTATTATCACCTGGAAAATATATATGAATGATAATTGGAGACCGGGTGGAATGGTACTTTGGATCTGGACTTGGGTTTGGCATTCGAGCGAGGCTCGGATTGCATTTGTTTCGCCTATGTTGGTTAAGAACCGGCCGTTGCATTGGGTTCTAGGCAAGTCACAGACTTATTATCCTGAGCACATACTTGTTTATGGGAGCAAGAAAGGCTCGTTACTATCTTGTCGTGGGTTCCGGCTCTTTTTGGACCGGCTGATTGGAGGTAGGGATGGTGGAGGTCTAAGCACCACACTAAGTCCGGGACTCAGGTGTGGGGGCTTGGAGTCCAAGTTTGGATAGGGACCTGGACCTCTTGACAGGAGAGTGGTGGGTTAGTCCTGTTTGTGCCTAGGGTACAAGCGGGGCGTGTGTTTTGGGGTACCCAGCTGGGATACATTGGTTCGCGAATCACCAGGTAATCCGGTACGACTTGTTTACAGTCTAGCACCGTAGTAAGAACTGGAATATGAAAGATGGTAAAATGGTTCTGATTGCTTACCACCTGCTTGAAAGTAGCACAGGTGCTTACATAGAATGGTTAGTTAATGAACTAATGATGACTGCTAATAAAATTGAATATAAGGACGCACGTTTAGTAATGCTCCTGCAGATGCAATAAAACCATAAGCCAGATAGCCTTGCATATCCTTGGAGTCTATTCTTTCCTCCTGATGGGTAAGTTTTGCGGAGTACAATTGAGTACTCAGGGTTTGTTTTACCCTATTGCAGGTGACAGGAACATGTGGAGCTGGCACTTGTGTGTGGAAACCTCCTGGTGGGCTCAGTGAGGATTTCCTTAACGTTGCAGAGAGTTTATTTGAAACTTTCACCCAAAATGGTTTACAATGGAAAAACTTATAACCTGTTATGATGTATATAACGAATCATCATGTTAATGTTTAACTTGTCATTAAATGATTTTATTTCCGCTAAGACTCTGATAACATGATTATATTCCGCTGTTATAAACAATAAATATTATACTCTGATGTTGCATGAAAAGTGATGTAAGAAATGGCTAAAATGTTGTAAGCTTTATTCTCCCATTTATGATCCTGTTGAAAAATGTGGATTTTTGGGTTCTCTTATGGGGTGTGCTCGACGGAACTGCATAATTTAGTGTCCTCCCTTGAGTACTTAGTGTTTAATGGAAGACAAGTACTCCTGGGAGGCATTAGATTAGGCGGTTCTGCCACATTCCTCCACCATGCGGCCGCAACCACAGCATCGTCCTCCTCCTCGGATCACAGCCCGTGGTCGTCTGCCCCTACCGGTACCTGGCGACACACAAGGATGAACTGGAGCGATAATGCGCCGCCATGCTGGACCAGGGGCTCATTCGCCGGAGTTCCTCGGCGTCCTCCTCCCTGGTCCTCCTCATCAAGAAGGCCAACGGCTTGTGGCGCTTCTGCGTCGACAACCGGGCCTTGAACGTGATCACCGTCAAGGACGGCTTCCCCATCTCGGTGGTCAACGAACTGCTAGACGAGCTCCACAGTGCCAAGTTCTTCACCAAGCTCAATCTGCGCTCGGGCTACCACCAGGCCCGGACGAGTCTGGCCGACATCGGCAAGACGGCGTTCCGCATGCACGATGGGCTCTATGAGTTCCTGGTGATGCCGTTTGAGCTTTGCAACGCCCCGGCCACCTTCCAATCCCTCATGAACGACGTTCTGCGCCCCTTCCTCCACCAGTTCGTGCTTGTATTATTTGACAACATCCTCATCTATAGCACCACCTAGGTGCATCACCTCCAGCACGTCCATACCATCCTCACCGTGCTGCAACAATACCGCCTCTTCGTCAAGCGCTCTAAGTGTGCCTTCAGGGTTGTCTCCATCTCCTACCTAGGCCACATCATCACTGAGGCCAGCGTCGCCATGGATCTCGCCAAGGTGCAGGCGATCCATGACTGGCCCTAGCCCCACTCGGCGCGTGCGGTGCGAGAGTTCCTTGGCTTAGCGGGCTACTATCGCAAATTCATCCACGACTATGGCTCCATCGCCCCCCCTCACGACGCTCCTGAAGAAAGAGGGGTTCAGCTGGAACAACGACGACGCCATGGCCTTCCAAGTGCTCAAGGCCGCGATCACATCGGCCCCAGTCCTGGCGTTGCCAGACTTCGCCAAGCCGTTCATCATCGAATGCGATGCCTCGACCCACGACTTTGGGGCAGTGCTCATCCAGGAGAAGCACCCGGTCGCCTACTTCAGCTGGCCCATCGTGCCTCATCACCATTCCCTCATCACCTATGAATAGGGGTTGATCGGCCTCATCCACGCCATCCGCCATTGGCGACCGTACCTCTGGGGCCACCGTTTTTTGGTGCGAACAGCCCACTATAGCCTCAAGTCCCTCCTCGATCAACGCCTCGCGATGATTCCGCAGCACCACTAGGTCAGCAAACTCCTCGGGTTTGACTTCACCATCGAGTACAAGCCTAGCGCCACGAACACGGTGGCTGATGCCCTCTCACACCATGACATCGACAAGGGCGCTATCTTGGCCATCTCCGCACCACGGTTCGACTACATCGCGCGCCTCCGCCAGGCACAGGCCACCAATCCGGCCCTCATCGCCATTCGGGACGAGATCACTACGGGTACCCGTGCGTCACCATGGTCCATGATCAACGACATGGTGACCTTCGACTCCCGCCTCTATATTCCACCAACATCGACCCTGCTGCCAGAGATCATGACTGCCATGCACGAGGACGGCAACGAGGGTGTGCAGCGCATCGTGCACCACCTTTGCCACGACTTCCACTTCCCCAACATGCACTGCCTGGTTTAGGACTACGTCCGTGCGTGGTCCACCTGCCAGCGCGACAAGTCGGAGCACCTACATCCAGCCTGCCTCCTCATGCCGCTTCCAGTACCACAAACCGTCTAGATCGACATCGGCCTCGACTTCGTGGAGGTGCTGCCGCGCATGGGGGGGAAGTCTGTCATATTGACGGTGGTCGATCGCTTCAGCAAGTACTGCCACTTCATCCCCATGGCTCACCCGTACACCGCATAGCCCGTGGTGTAGGCCTTCTTTGCCGACATTGTACGCCTCCATGGCGTGCTGCAGTCCATGGTGTCCGACCGTGATCCGGTGTTCACCTTCACGTTCTGGCGGGAACTCATGCGCCTCATGGGCACCAACCTACACATGACGATGGCTTTCCATCCGCAATCGGATGGCAGACGGAGGCGGCCAACCATGTTATCATCATGTACCTGCGCTGCTTCACCGGCGACCGCCCCCGCCAATGGCTCCGCTGGCTGTCCTAGGCCGAGTACATCTACAATACGGCCTACCAGACTTCACTCCGTGACACACCATTCCGTGTGGTGTATGGCCGCGACCCGTCGACCATTCGCTCCTATGAGCCGGGCGAGACGCGTGTGGATGCTATCGCCAAGAACATGGCGGACCGCGACGAGTTCCTCACAGACGTCCGCTATTGGCTGGAATAGGCCCAGGCGGTCTAGAAGCGCCACTGTGACAAGCTTCACCACCCCGTCTCCTACGCGGTTGGCGATTGGGTCCTGCTCCGCTAGCGTCATCATGCTGCCGCCTCCTTACCCCAGGCGACCAAAGGGAAGCTCAAGCCTCGCTTCTTCGGGCCGTACCACATCACCGAGCTCATCAACGCTGTTGCGGTGCGCCTTGATCTGCCTCCACGCACTCGGCTCCACGACGTCTTTCATGTCGGCCTCCTCAAGAAGTTCGTCGACGTCCCACCAGCTGTGCCACCGCCCCTCCCGGCCGTCCACAACGCCACAACGGTGCCGCCGTCCCTGAGCCTGAACTTGCGATGCGCATCCACTTGGCACATGGCGTCCGCCAGGTGCTCATTCACGGGAAGGGTGAGACTGATGCCTCCGCGACATAGGAAGATGTCGACTCCTGACTCGACCGGTACCCAGCATTCCAGCTCGAGGATGAGCTACTAGTCAAGGGGGGGAGAGATGTCATGTGGGGCCATGCCTACACAAGGGAAACGACGCGCCCGTGATGCTTGCAGAGCCGCAGACGGCGCGCCAGCGGCACCGTAGGCACAGTCACCACGCTCTACATGCGCGCGTGGAAGAAGGCAAGTGTCTGGAAGGCAGTAGAGCTGATCATGGCCTTAGATTGAGGAGCAATTGGCTCCAAGTTGTTATGGCCGAATGGCCTATATAATCTTGTACTCAGTATGGTGATAATCAAGCAAGAACAATTACTCAATTCCCTAATCTTCCTCTGTTGAAACAACTAGGCGCTGAGGGGTAAAACCTCGCCCCTTACCATGGATCGCAGCTACGATCTACGTAGCCGGGGTCCTCCTACCCTATCCCTCGACGCCCTTGACAGGAATGAGGAAAAATACAGAAATATAAAATGAATGAATGTGCAAAATAGAGGATGAAAAAAACACAGGAATGCGAACACATGAACCAGATGATGGATGAATAAGGTAAAACTCATATTCTAATAATGTGAGGACATAATGATATAGTAATTAAGAGTTTGAAATAATGTACAGACTTTTCCCTCATTTCACCTCCATTCTTAAACGGGCCTAAAGTGTTTGAAATTCCCAATCTCAACAGAGAGAAGTTGATTCTGCCATTCACTCTCTCAGGATTCCTCATCAACCGGTGGTGGTTTGTCAAAAACAACCATCACATTCACCTCATCAACCACAGTACCCTCCTTCTCAATGAACACGTCTCCAGTTATATCCATAGCAGCAAGACCTCCATCTACTCTGGTGCTCAGCACGGTGATCTCCTCCTTGTGGTGATTATTTGGCAGTGCATTGACCTGTGCTTGCGTTGTTACGGTGACACTACACTTGGATCCTGGTGGGACAATGCCCTTGTCTGGCTCTATGCGGAAGCAGCGTGACCTTGCCTTTGTTATGAAGGCAATGTAATCATTCGTATCGTTGGTCAGCTCAATTGAGTGTGATATCTGCGGGTCAAGTTTAAAGGGGAAGTGTATTTCCAGCGGCTCAATCCCAAGCATGTCCTCCAGGCAAGGGATTTCCTGTGATGGAGAAATTAAAGATGCATTAGCTTTACCAGAGCCTATCAAAGCTTTAGATCCCTTGAGCTTCAGGGAGCACATAGGGCATACCTGGAATTGGCCACCCTTACTATCTATTGTGTTGAGCTCATCCATTACGTATACTATGTCAGGTCTGGCTGTCGGGTTAATTTGGATGCATCTTTGGGCCAGCTCGAGGCATTTTGTCACTTGTTGATAACCCAAGGGTGTATGCTTTGATGATTTAATCCACCTGTGCCTCCATCTTCTAAGTACCTGCATTTACACAAAACCATTCAAATTGGCACCAAAATATTTAATGCAAATGACATGTACATTGTTATCGGCTTAATAATACAACTAAAGAGACGTTCTTGGCTATAGTAACACAGGTTTGGAATATGTCAAAAGTATCCTAATTCCTGTATCTGAGAATTGCACTGTTTCCAGTAAACAAGCTATAATGTTCATGTGAAATTCCTATGCGATCCTTGTATGAAATGATGCCCAATCAATTTAAGAATTTTAAGTTGTTTTGGAAATAAAAAGAACTACAGAAAAAATGACTCACAACAAGTAGACAATTATATACGAAAGCGAAGTATCAAACAGTAACGTTTTATTGTTTTTTTGTATTGGAATTATCCCTAATGAAACGTAAGTGCTTTTCCATTCTAGATTGATCTTACTAGTGAAATAACCAGCTCAACTACTTTCATTCAAGGTTTTTGTATTAGCATCATGACCAAAAGAGGACATATCCATGCAACGATGACATAACCACAACTCTTACTTTGGTAAGATCAGGCCCCTTTTTACTTCCTGTCACCATCTCTGTAACCATTACTCCCAAACTATATATATCTGACTTGCTGGACCATTTGCCTTCGAGAATGTATTCTGGAGCACAATATCCTCTGCATGATAAGAACACACATATCAACACGCTATGACATAAAGACCTTGTAAGAAGACAAGTGTCAGAAACAACAATGTATTATTAGTAGCTTACGGTGACATAAGACGCGATGTGGTCGCTGCTTGTGAATTATTGTCAAGTCTCGATAGACCAAAATCTGTAATTTTGGGCACCATGAGATCATCTAGCAGTATATTCGCAGGTTTGAGATCCATGTGGACGATATCCTTCTCCTTGTGAAGATAGAGCAAACCTTTGCAGATCCCCACAATAATTTCATAACGAGTATGCCATTCAAGTCCCCTCAGTTCATCTTAAGAAGTATATGAAGAATCAAGAGTATTTTAGAAGCTGCAAATAAATAATAACGTGCCCAGTGTATGTGCAAGTGAGCATTGAACAAAATGTTGGCCTTTTTTATCTGTAGACTGTCCATGATTATTCATCAAATGCAATTTAAAAGTTAGGATTACAGTAGTGAAGATGCATGGTGCGATCAAGAAAGTAACCATATCATATGAAAATGCAGTTGTGCGCTTTGGTCACTGGACTGTATGTAAGCAAATGAATAGAAGAATATTGATAGCGTTTACTTGAGTATTTACAAATTTATTTTAAAATTCAGGAAGTGGCCATGATTAGGGATTTGACTCTTGATCAGATTATTTCTCTGTTGTGCTCTTTAATTTAGTTTTCACTGTTGATGATCTTAGTTTAATTTTTTGTTTGGCATATTTTTGCTTGCAAGCACTGTGTTAGATTGCTGATTATTGGATCAGCTGTCTTATAATGTGAATTGGAGAGCTACTGATATCATGTAAAAAGAAGTCATACCTGTGAGATGGCTCTCAAGGTTTCCGTTGCTTATGTACTCAAAACAGAGCAACCTTTCCCGTATATCAGCCATAATTGTTCTTCCTTCAAATATTAATACGCGTTCTTCCGTAAAAGAACAATAACCCAGAAATCGTACTATATTTTTGTGCCTAACCGTGATCAAACTTTGAACCTCCCGATGGAACATCTTGTCTTTAATTGTTCGGCTGTTGAAAAGCCTTTTCACAGCAACAATTCCATTTCGAAGCATGCCCTGTTTATAATATCCTTAATTATGGGAAAGACCATGATCATTATGTCAAGTAATGCTATGAAAAGAGCAAACATGAAGGTGTGGTGCTATAAAAATTGCAGTTACCTTGTAAACCTCTCCACATCCACCAACACCAATTTTTCTCTGCTTAGAGAAATTTTCTGTGATGCTCTGTAGAAGTGACAAATCTAGATGGCTTGGTTCCTCGCTTCCAGCTACTACACGCTCGAGTATGTTGAGATCCATAGTCTGTACCGATGCAGGGTACGTAACGGTGCGTTTTTTTTGTTTATGAAATACAAGTTCAGTGTTGTTGACAATGTAAAAAAAAGTTTTGGAACAGATGCCATAAGCAAAAAAAAAAGCACTATGATACAAAAACAGCTAACTTTCAATATGCTACACTTTCCAAACAGATGGACTACGAGGTTCTAATGAACTACGAATTTATATTTCATCTCCATTAAGGGGGTGTTTGGGACTACTTCTTCAACAACAACAACAACAACAACAACAACAACAACAACAACAACAACAACAACAACAACAACAACAAAGCCTTTAAGTCCCAAACAAGTTGGGGTAGGCTAGAGTTGAAACCCAGCAGAAACAATCAAGGTTCAGGCACGTGAATAGCTGTCTTCCAAGCACTCCTATCTAAGGCTAAGTCTTTGGGTATATTCCATCCTTTCAAGTCTCCTTTTATTGCCTCTACCCAAGTCAACTTCGGTCTTCCTCTGCTTCTCTTCACGTTACTATCCTGGCTTATGATTCCACTACGCACCGGTGCCTCTGGAGGTCTCCGTTGGACATGTCCAAATCATCTCAACCGGTGTTGGACAAGCTTTTCTTCAATTGGTGCTACCCCTAATCTATCACGTATATCATCGTTCCGAACTCGACCCCTTCTTGTATGACCGCAAATCCAACACAACATACGCATTTCCGCGACACTTATCTGTTGAATATGTCGTCTTTTCGTAGGCCAACATTCTACACCATACAACATAGCAGGTCTAATCGCCGTCCTATAAAACTTGCCTTTTAGCTTCTGTGGTACCCTTTTGTCACATAGGACACCAGATGCTTGCCGCCACTTCATCCACCCTGCTTTGATTCTATGGCTAACATCTTCATCAATATCCCCGTCTCTCTGTAGCATTGATCCTAAATATCGAAAGGTATCCTTCCTATGCACTACTTGACCTTCCAAACTAATATATTCCTCCTCCCAAATAGTAGTGCCGAAGCCACATCTCATATACTCAGTTTTAGTTCTACTGAGTCTAAAACCTTTGGACTCCAAAGTCTCCCGCCATAACTCCAGTTTCTGATTCACTCCTGTTCGGCTTTCATCAACTAGCACTACATCGTCTGCGAACAGCATACACCAAGGGATGTCCCCTTGTATGTCCCTTGTAACCTCATCCATCACTAAGGCAAACAAATAAGGGCTCAAAGCTGACCCTTGATGTAGTCCTATCCTAATCGGAAAGTCATCCGTGTCTCCATCACTTGTTCGAACTCTAGTCACAACATTGTTGTACATGTCCTTAATGAGCCCGACGTACTTCGTTGGGACTTTATGTTTGTCCAAAGCCCACCACATAACATTTCTTGGTATTTTATCATAAGCCTTCTCCAAGTCAATAAAAACCATGTGTAGGTCCTTCTTCTTCTCCCTATACCGCTCCATAACTTGTCTTATTAAGAAAATGCCTTCCATGGTTGACCTTTCGGGCATGAAACCAAATTGGTTCATAGAGACCCGCGTTATTGCTCTCAAGCGATGCTCGATAACTCTCTCCCATAGCTTCATAGTATGGCTCATCAACTTAATTCCCCGGTAATTAGTACAACTTTGAATATCCCCTTTATTCTTGTAGATCGGTACCAATATACTTCTCCACTCATCAGGCATCTTGTTCGATCGAAAAATATGGTTGAACAGCTTGGTTAGCCATATTATAGCTATGTCCCCGAGGTATCTCCACACCTCGATTGGGATACCATCCGGTCCCATCGCCTTACCACCTTTCATCCTTTTCAACGCCTCTCTGACCTCAGATTCTTGGATTCTCCGCACAAAGCGCCTATTGGTGTCATCAAAAGAGTCATCCAACTGAAAGGTTGTGTCTGTATTCTCACCATTGAATAATTTGTCAAAATACTCTTGCCATCGATGTCGGATCTCATCCTCCTTCACCAAGAGATGCTCACTTTCATCCTTAATGCACTTCACTTGGTTGAAGTCCCTTGTCTTTCTCTCACGGACCCTAGCCATCCTATAAATATCCTTCTCTCCTTCCTTCGTACTCAAACGTTGGTAAAGATCCTCGTACGCTCTACCCTTTGCCACACTTACAGCTCGCTTTGCAGTCTTCTTTGCCACCTTGTACTTCTCTATGTTGTCCACACTCCTGTCATGGTACAAGCGTCTATAGCACTCTTTCTTCTCCTTAATAGCCCTTTGGTCTTCCTTGCTCCACCACCAGGTATCTTTAGCCTCGCCTCCACTTCCTTTGGTTACTCCACACACCTCTGAGGCCACCTTCCGAATGTTGGTTGCCATCTTCTCCCACATGTTGTTTATATCCTCTTCTTTCTTTCAAGAGCCCTCTTTGATAACTCTTTCCCTGAATACCTCTGACGTCTCCCCTTTCAGTTTCCACCACTTTGTTCTTTCAATCTTAGCTTGTTTATCCCTACGGGCACGCACCTGAAAACGAAAGTCTGCCACCAAAAGCTTATGTTGAGAAACAGCACACTCCCCTGGTATCACCTTGCAACCCAAGCATGCTCATTTGTCCTTTCTTCTTGTGAGGACAAAGTCAATCTGGCTAGAGTGTTGTCCGCTACTGAAGGTCACTAGATGAGATTCTCTCTTTCTAAAGAAAGTGTTGGCTATCATCAGGTCAAAAGCTACCGCGAAGTCCAGAACGTCCTCCCCCTCCTGATTCCTACTACCATACCCAAAACCTCCATGAACGGCCTCGAAACCTACGCTTGTAGTACCTACATGTCCATTAAGATCTCCTCCTATAAAAAGCTTCTCACTACTGGGTACAACTCTAATCAGGCCATCTAAGTCTTCCCAGAACTGTCTCTTAACACTCTCGTCGAGGCCTACTTGGGGGGCATACGCACTAATTACGTTCAAGACCATATCACCAATGACAAGCTTGACTAAGATAATCCTATCTCCGTGCCTTCTCACTCCCACCACACTATTCTTAAGGCTCTTATCAATCAAAACTCCTACTCCATTTCTATTCGCAACTGTCCCTGTGTACCAAAGCTTAAAACCTGTATTGTCCACCTCCTTCGCCTTCTGACCCTTCCATTTAGTCTCTTGAACGCATAATATATTTACACGCCTCCTAGTCGCGGTATCAACTAATTCTCTTAACTTACCTGTAAGCGACCCTACATTCCAACTACCTAAACGGATCCTAGTTGGTTCAACTAGCTTCCTTACCCTTCGCACCCGTTCACTCCACGTTTTTTTAGCTCCACTCCACGTTTTTTAGCCAAACAAGTTTAGCTCCACGCACTCAGTTCAAGAAAAAAATATGAAGTTGTGAGAGCACCTTAATGCAGGGTGCTCCACAAACTCTAGGTTTTTATGGAGCTGCTCCACAGTGGAGTTTGTGGAGTAGAGTTCGTGGAGCAGTCCCAAACACGCCCTAAATATTCACATTACCAGCAAACCATATTGGAGGTCATTAGTAAAAGGTTGTGTTTACCACATTTATTGCGTATAAAAACTTAAAAATTTTATTACAATCCCTCAAACGGTATTCTTCAACACCATCTTCTCCCAAATCTATCCACTACCATTTCTGGTCCACTCCATTCCCCTCCTCCCATATCCAAGAGGAGTGAGGGGACATGGATGCAGCGACAAACGCACGTGTATATATAGAGGTATACCCATGTTGGACTATGTTCAATGATGGCACTAATACTATATGTGTCACTCATGTTATGCCAATATGGATAGTGAGTATTGGTGCCAAAACATAGGCTCGTGCTCACATTATCAAACTGCACATCGGCTACCTGGCAAGCATGCATGAGCCTTTGATAATATACAAGTTGGACTAGCACCTCAGGCCAAAGTGGTTTACTGTTATGTAGTAGTAGATCATTTTTATAAGAACATTATAGCTCTCGATGAGGTCACGAACTTTATATTGCCATTTTCTGACATTATCTAGATGGCCAAATCTTATTTACTTTAATTTGACAACAACAATTTATAAGGTACAATTCTTTTCCTGCTGACTCACTCATCATAATTTGTAGTACTCATAAACGATATGAAAATGGATAAAGATGTTAACAACATGATGAAATGATAATACTTGCAGTGCTTATGTACTAAAAAATGTTAACTGTTATGACATATGAAATTCACTAATACAAGCTTCCCGGCTTTCATGTGGACCAACTCAATCCAAAGTTGAAAGATTTGTGTAATAATAATACAAAAATATACGGTGAAAAGAGTAGGAATGCAATGCTTAAGTTTTCATGTAGAGATTGCAATATATGTTGATGTCTAAGAGTAGGTATTATATGGTGAAACGATAATGTATGCAATGCTTAAGTTTTCATGTGAGGTTATAGAAAATAAGAGCTAGTTTACATGTTTGTAACAAGGTATTAAAAATTAAGTTCAGAAATATTACATGAAACAGACAGAACAAATATTTAATGAAAATTGTGGCTCTCAAATGCTCCCTCCATTTCAAATTATAAGATGTTTTGGCTTTTTAGATACATTAACTTTACTATATACATAGACATAGTGTATATCTAAATGTATACGAAAAAGTCTGTATTTAGAAAAGCCCAAATGTCTTATAATTTAGCATGAAGGGAGTAATATATAAGCTTATAATTAGTAAATAACTTTTTTTTGCACGACCTGCGACTAGCTATATATAGCACAAAGTGTTGTCAACTAACACTTTTTTATCTGTCAACATAATATTTTGAGGCAATGCATGTTTAGGGAGCCATCATAGGCAGTTTTAGAGAGACGTAGGTCAAACAGTAAGGTATGAAGCTTTAATTTAGAGCCATGTGCAATTATTATTGTTACTAATATTCTGACCCATTCACCTGGGCACACTGACCTGTTCATCAGGTTTAAACTCGTCCACAGATTCCTTTTCATCAGGTTCGGTAAACTGATCCGTACTTTCCGTTTCATCGAGCATCTTGATTATATGCCCTGCATCTGGTCTCTTCTTACGGTCAAGGTTGCAGCAACTTATGGCAATCTCAGCACATACTCGTATTTGTTCCAAGCGCGTGTCTTCTAGTGATGTTCCCAATCTGTCAGCCCAGCTTTCGAGTACCTATAAAATGGCAATGATTAACTGCTTTTAATGAAACTGAAGATATCTTTTCATATGGAAAATTAAATAGTCATGTGATACCACATAAAAGGCAAATATATAGATGCTAGAATGCAAATCGTGCATGTCATTCAAGTATCTAACTAACAACATAGATTCTTCAAAAATGAAGGTAATAAGGAGGAAAATTTCTCGTGATAATAGACTATCATCATTATTTCTTACAGAGTTATGGTACATGTTTTAATGCGTTTTCACCTTTCGCAGCTAAACTTTATTTTCAGTACTTGATTTTTCACCTAGAGTTACACACATGTTCAAACATGCCATAATTATCCATATATAGAACCTTCATCTGGTATAGTCACGTATTTTAGTTGTTCTTACATTCTCTACTACGCAATATTCCTTCTGCCCTGTCAGTATCTCCATGATTAGAACACCAAGGCTGTATATGTCCGCCTTCAATGTGACCTCTCCCTTATCTAAGACTTCAGGTGCCGTATATCCCCTGCATGAAAATTTGTACTATGTGCTTAATTTATCGATACAGACGCAACATGATTATTACCCAACTAGGAAAAAACCATCTTGAGAATCAAGCTTACTTACCACGTCCCCTTTTCTACATCCACGATAAGCTTGCTTTGCTTTTCCTCAATGCACTTGGAGCAACAAAAATCAAGAATTTTTGGCACCTTTTTTTCATCCAGGCATATATGGGCAGGTTTAAGATCTAAGTGAATAATAAGGTTTTGGTGTAGATAAGATAAGCCCTCACAAATTCCTTTGATTATTTTGTAGCGTTTTTTCCAGCCAAATCCATGAGAGGCATCTGTAATGGGCGAGAATAAACAAATTAGAAAAGCTAAACCTCCATAAACAGAATTTGATTATTAACAGATGGTGCTCTAATTCTCCCATATACTTGATATACAAAGTAATTGCCACTATATATGTTTGCGCGGTGCATGGTTCTGACTGTTTCAACAGAGGAAATAAAAATAGAAATGAACATTACGTGTCACACGATCCTCGTACCAGTGATATACGCAGCAAGGTTCCCTCCTCTCAGATATTCAACGCAGACCAACCTTTCAGGCTTTTCTGCCAAGATCATTTTTCCCTCGTACTCCACCATCTCCGACAGTGTTTCAGCACAATATCCCAGTAATCGGACTATATTCTTGTGCTTCAACCCCATGTGACAACTGAGCTCATTATGGAATCTTTTATCATGAAAATCTTGCAGTTGATACATCTTCACAGCGACTGTTCCATTTCGAAGCACACCCTGCCATCACAGCAGCCGTTTAGGCCAACAATAAACCAAACAGAGTGTATTCGGTATTGGTACATAGTACTGTACCTTGTAAACCGCAGCAAACGCACCCCTTCCAATTTCCCAAGCACCATTGAAATTATTTGTGATGGCTCTTAGAAGTGATAGTGGCAGTGCACATGGCTTTGCACTTTCATCATGTAGCAAGCGCTCCAAGACATCGTGCAAGCTAGCTTCATAATCCATTTTGTACGTACTCATCATGTATAAATGTGACCTTCAAACACGAACCACAAGGAATATAATTTTCATGTAATAATCAAGAAAGATAAAAAATTACGGAGTTGATCTAATTACGGGACGTTGGGTAGAGCAGTATATGACCAATACTGTAAAAAATAGGTACGTCCTTTCGCTAAAAAAAAAGGTACGTCCTAACACTTGGATCCGTGGTACAGCCACACAGGAGACTAAAAAGCAATATCGAACGACTCTTGGTCGTCTCGCTGCTATAAAACTCAAGAGTTGGTCAAAACAATTGAAACATGGAAGATGATAACAGTTGCTCTTTAATGGCAGTGTTCATTTCCTGATGATTTCAGTCTTGTTTTTACTAACTTTGTACGTCGGTGATGCCAACTAAAAGGAATAACGAAGAAGAAAAAATAAACTCTGTGAAGAGAATAGATTTACTTCCTCGTAAATCTAGATTTAGAGATACCAAACTCTTGGTCCCACTTGTCGCATCTCAGGGCAAACTATAAGTATAGAGATTACATAATCTTGCGAAGAGGAAAGAGGCAAAAGGCCTAAATAGGCAGTCCCGATATCAAGAACTGCAGTTGAAAGAAACAACATTTAAACACTCCGAAGTAAACAATCTGCTCCAGCTCTGTTTTATCATGTGCTAAAATGATGCGAAATCGCAAGAACTGTATGCTTATGCTCACTATAAGTAACAATTAGTATCCTGCGACAGTCACTTGTTTAGATCCAAAGAGAGTGACTTACCAGCAATATAAGACAAAGGGTCGGTCAACTCCACTAGTGGAACTGGACACAGCTGAACTGTGAAGAGTGCTCAATCGGAAATGATGATGAGAAAAGAAGAAGAAGAAGAAGACAGCAAATGAGTCCAGATTACAGAAGAGTTGAGCGGAGTCAGCGGAGCGAGGAGATTAGGTTAGAGAAAGGCGAGAGGAATTCCTCTGCAGCTGGGCAGATTAAGGGAGGACGGGGAAGCAACACAAACACAGTCGACAAAGTTCAGCACAACCTTGACGGTCCAGATTCACAGCGCAGACTAATTTCAGCGAGCTTCTGCCTTTTGGGAACATTCACAGAATCCGCACCGGTAGAGAACCGAGCTTTACTCCCGGTGGGGAACCTCCTCTAGTCCTGGTTCCCCACCCGGAAATAAGCATCCAGGACTAAAGGGGGTCCTTTAGTCCCGGGTCAGGAACCGGGACTAAAGGAGGACCTTTAGTCCCGGTGGGTAACATCAACCGGGACTAAAGGTGCCTCCTGACATGCCACGATGGCCGGCACCTTTAGTCCCGGTTGGTAATCTGAACCGGGACTAAAGGTTTTTTTTTTTTTTTTTTTCATTTTTTTTTTTTCTTTTCAAAATAGGTTTTCAAGTCGTTGTATGCGCTGCTAATTATACATTTATACGCCGCATATAGTATGTTTCGTTCAAGCACAATGAACGTATTAAATCACACAATTCAAGCATAGAAATATATATATATATATATGAATGCATGCATCATATATATATTTACATGCATGCATGCATATGTGTATTTTACATTATATTATTTCATGTGCATATATTACAAAAGATTGCATTACAGTTGTTGTGACATAACAAGTTTCCTCTCATCCTCTAGCTTGGCTTCAATGGCAGTGTTGGGTCGAAGTAGAACTCGCCCTTGGAATCGATGACCTGCTCATTAAAAATCCGGCTATAGACTCTTGAATTGCTTTGATTTGGTCTTGCCGTATGATCTTTTCCTCCAACCATCGAGTCTACAGGTTTGAATTAAAGGAAAATAAATTAATATATGTACATATATATATATAAAGACATAGTAACACAATCAATAATAATAATTAAATGAATATATAATGTATTTTTAACGTTTTTGAGTCTCTCTCAGAGGAGTTCTTTGGGAGAGCACCTTGATAAACTTGCAAACATAGTAACCACAGATGTTGTTCCCCTGTTCTGCCTTAGACACCACTTTACGAGAAAAAGATTTGTCATCCAATCTGGTGATCCGGTGAAAGCTATATGTTTAATTAATAAAGATGATGCGATTCGGGGACTTACTTTCAAAGGATTACATTCGATGGGCGCTTTGCATTTTCCATGTGTTGCTTCTCAATAAAGGTTTTCCAAACACTTGCCCAATAAAAAATTTGCCACGTCATCGAGATATAGTTAATCATCATGTTTGTGTGTATATATAGTTGCTAGAGATCCCGAAATTACCTCTGGATAATATCTATCATATTTTGGTAGTCTTGTTGTGGTTTTCTCATCGAGTCATAGATTATCAAGTGACTTTTCACCGTATCGATGTCCATCAATATCCAATGATTGCTTTGCATGTGTTTATAGGATATAACGCATAACACTCATTAATTAACTAGAATCAACATATGAGCCATTAAGGATATGATCGACATGATTAACACTCACTTGAAGTTATAGGGAAAGAGTATATCCTTCTTGTGGCATTGGTTCACTAAGAAGTTCATGAGGTTACTCTCTGACTCAGACTTCCAATTAGTCTTTGGAGTAATTGGGTCTTTGAATACTATATGGGGATCAACAAAACCAATTTCATTGCAGCCTTCCTTTCTCGAAAGGCTCATCATTGTAAATCTGCATATATATAGTACTTGTTAGGATAATTTATATGCATATACACACATATGATGAGTTTAATAATAGATCGAAAGAATTATTACTTACAGGCAATAGCAGCTAATGATAACTTTGTCCAGAGAGGTCAGGTGGCATAGTTGATGAAATTCTGCAAAGTCAACATACATAATATCATCGCCACGGAACCAATGTTCGTCTCTAATTCTGACACCAACGCAGAAGTCTCCACTGGTAGACGAATTCGAACCATATTCATTACCAACAACTAGCGGGGGGATTGATTGGTGCGCTTGTTGTCCGAGTTGGGCAATGCCTTTCCCTGCCCGCTTCTTTTTCTGTGCCGCCTCAATTGACTTGGTGAGAGTGCGGTCATAGTCTGATAACGTTGATTTGGACGGCTTACGAGATTCCCGCTGTTGTTGCTGGTAAGAAGTCACCTTTTTTCTTAGAATATCTGGAGCTACGAAGAAGTACGGTTTCTTCGGGTTTCTCCTTGCTTCTTGATTCATTTTAAGTTTGTCATAGAATCTAGACATGTCTTTTTTATATGCATCAGTTCCTTCTTCCTTCTCTTCAGATATTATTTTGGGAATAGCCCTTGGTTTCACGGTGGCTTTCTTTGCAGGCGGGGACTAGTTCTTCGTTTGAGGGGTTGGCCTCTTGCTAGGCTTCTTGGTAGGCGGGGGCGGGGGAGGCGTTGGAGACCTCCTTGGAGGTGTTGGCAGCGGCGTTGGAGACCTCCTTGGAGGTGGCGGCTACGGCGTTGGAGACCTCCTTGGAGATGGTGTAGATGCAGCCTCGTCTTCCAACATAATGTCATCGTACAGAGCACTATGATGATCTGGCGATTGAACAATTGGATTTAGGTTGGGGGAGGATCTGCTACAAAAAAAGGAATGACATATTATTATGAGCAGATTATTAATTATTTAAACCAATACAAATTAATGATGTAGTGTTTTCATCCGCACGTACCTATGGTGAGGTAGTTCAGGAGGAGGTGGAGCCGACATCCCTGGAATGATGATCGTCAGGTGCATCACGTCGATCGAGCTACGGACCTCCAGGACTTGCCAATAGGGTAGGTCCCAAAATATGGACTTCTTCTTCCACATGGGTGCGTGACCGTTAGCGTCTTTTGGAATAGGTTGGCTTCCATGTTCTTTTCCAAAGACGACTTTCACATCATTGACCATATCGAGTACATCCTCACCGGTTCGGTTGCGAGGCTTGGTCAGGTGGTCTGCCTTCCCTTTAAAATGCTTGCCTTTCTTTCTTACGGGGTGATTTGCAGGAAGAAATCGACGATGGCCAAGGTACACGACCTTTTCGACATTTTTTCAAGAATACACCTCTAATATCACCAAGCAGCGTGTGTGCATGCATTATATCCCTTGTTTGACTGTCCTGAAAGATTACTTAGAGCAGGCCAATCATTGATTGTTACGAACAACAATGCTCGCAGATCAAAGTGTTCCTGTTTGTACTCATCCCACACACGTACACCTTCTTTATTCCACAAAATGAGAAGTTCGTCAATAAGTGGTCTCGGTACACATCGATGTCATTGCCGGGTTGCTTCGGGCCTTGGATGAGCACAGAGCATCATAATGAACTTCCGCTTCATGCATAACCAAGGAGGAATATTGTAGATACTTAGAGTAACAGGCCAAGTGCTATGACTCTTCTTTACGCTCTCCAAAAGGATTGATACCATCATGTACTTAAAAAGCAAACCTTAAGTTTCTTGCGTCATTTGCAAACTCCGGAAATTCTCATCGATTGCTCTCCACTAGGACCCATCAGCCAGGTGTCTCAACATATTGTCTACCTTACGGTCTTCTTTGTGCCATCGTAACAATTTTGCATGTTCTTTGTTTCTCGAACGGACGTTTCAAGCGTGGTATTATAGGAGCATACCACATAACCTTGGCGAGGATTTTCTTACGCGAAGACGTTCGCCTCAACATCACCAGGTCATCTCGCTTTGATCTTATACCGCTGACGCGCATGGCATAACGGGCATGCATCCAATTTCTCGTACTCTTTGCCACAGATGCAGGATGCGATCATTAGGACATGCATGTATCTTCTCTATATCTAGCCCCATAGAGACGGACAACTTGTTTTGCTTCAGTAGGTAGTGGCGGGCAATTCATTGTACTTCTAAGCATCTTCTTTTGGATTTTAGTAACTCTCCAAATCCTTTGTCAGATACACCATTCTTTGCCTTCCATTGCAGCAATTCTAGTGTGGTTCCCAACTTTTTCTGCCCTGCATCACAAGTTGGGTACAACAATTTCTTGTGATCTTCTAGCATCCGCTCGAACTTGATCTTCTCCTTTTCACT